TTAAGTGAGAGGACTCCCATGTCATTGGATGAAGTGCGGGTGGGGAAAGGAGTGACCCTTTCAATCAATATCAAACCAAATCCAACCAACCCACTGCTGTCAGTGATCCTGACTCACAATGGCCCTAGAGGACAGAGCAGAACTGCCCCATAGGGTCTCTAAGTCTGTCAATCTTTATGGAAGTAGATTGCCTCATCTTTCTCCAGCAGAGCAACTAGTGGGTTCCAACTGCCAACCTTTTGGTTAGCAGTCAAATGCAGAGGTTTGTAAAGAGGAAATCTTAATAAACAATTATGAGTGAGGGGAGGTGCTGAAGACATCTGCAATAACGAAATAATAAGCAAGTCTAATTCACTATGAAAGATTCTCTCAATAATTTATTTTCAAATGGAATAAAAAATAAGGAGCTCTAGTGGCACAGACTGCTAACTAGAAGACTGGTGGTTCAAACCCACCAGCCACTCCTAGGAAGGAAGATGGGGCCACCTACTTCCGTAGTGATACCACCTCAGAAACCCAAGGAGGGGTCGCTATGAGTCGAGTCTGACTTGATGGCAGTGAGTTTGGTTTGGTTTAGAATCAAAAATGGCCTTCAACTGGCCTACAAATGGACTTTGTCAAGAAATGAGGAAGTAAAGTGTAGTTCTAACATAAACTTCTATTGCCTTCCTCATCCCTTGAGCAGTAAGAACTCCTTTACAGCAAGGATCATCATGTTATTAGTCTCTGCTATAGCAGGGAGGGGCGATGTGATGAAGGAGGGCGAGAATGGTTACAGGCCTGAAGAATGCACCGAGACCCCTGGGCTGCACCCAGAAGCGGCTGAAGCAGTGGCCGGTCTGCTGTGTGTCTTCTCAACAACAACAAATACAGTGAATGACTTAGAAAAAAGAAAATCTGCAGAAGAACAAGATCCCGCATCTCTAAATAAGGAGCTCAGCTGGCACTGTGGTTAAGGCACCAGGCTGCTAACCACAAGGTCAGCGGTTTGAACCCACCAGCTACTTCGTGGGGCAAAGATGAGGCAGTTTGCTTCTGTAAAGATTTAGAGCCTTGGAACCCTTATGGGGTCGCTATGAATAGGAATCGATTGGATGGCAGCGAGTTTGGTTTTTGGTTTTGGTTTATATTGCTAGATACCCATTTAACTTCATGTATCTGTTTGATACTCCAACTGTTATATAAAGAAGTAACAATGCCCTTTGGTTTTTCATATACTATTAAAGGAAGGAAATCATGATGGGCCATTTTCATGAATGAATCAACTGTCTCCACCTCCATACCAACTCTCCACTTACCACTGTGATTGTCAGTAAGAGTCTAGAACAGACAGTATCCCAAGCAACCCAAAGCTAACTTCAGGAGCACTAAGAAAAACAAGTACAAGTGCCACTTTGAATATTCAGTTATAAATTCATGAGCTGATTACTTTGAAATGCAGTATAGACTAAAACCACAGTCAAAGAAGGCTCCGGTAAAGATGCTGTTAGGGGCCAGGGAGTCGGCTCCGCCTCACA